GTTCTGAGGGGCTGTATTTCAGAACTCTTCTCCGCTGAGAACAACTTTGGCGCATGGTGAAAGTTTTCAAAAGACTTTATTTAAATAGAAGATAAAAAGCTCTTCATTTACAGCCAAATATTCAAACCATATGGCCTCGTACAATGGGAATGGTATTTTACTGTAAAATACAGTGAATCATCTGACTTCAAGTGTGTAATATAACTTTCAACTCTGTTTCGATTCCAATGTTTGTTTATTCTTAAGAGTATTTTCAAGTAGGCCAGTTGTTGAAAATAGGATCTTATATCTTGTACGAGTTCGTTGATTCTTGTAGGATATGCGTGGATAAATTGTTCACCACTGCATCCGTATAACATTGTCTTTAAATTCGGCAAAATTCTAGATAAATCGAAGAAGAAGGATTTGTGAAAATGATATTGACAATGACTGTTATTTCTTTTTATTCCAAAATTGAAATGAACAATGCGTGTTGAATATTCTACAGGAATGAATTTCTTTAGCTCTGGGATCGTTTTCCATGTATCAGGAGGGAAAACGTTCAAAGTAATTACAATAGGTGTTGCTTTGATCAATTTAAATAATAATCGATGGTGATCAGAAGGCATGTTATTAGAATCAATATATATTGTCTTTTCTTTTCGCTTTGATATAGTTGTGAATAATTGTTCAGGTTTTGGCACAGCGTAAAAGGCGTAAGTGAATTCTGCCTTAGGTCCAAAGAGCTCCCATCCAGCATCATCATCGTCATCATAACCAGTTCTTACATATCTATCATACTTAAATATCTGTTGATTAGTCACGTTTTCTACTAGACGTTGAAATCCGTCAATATTCGTGAATTCTTTGTCCGTTTCCATGGTTATTAGATAAGTCAATGATCGAAGTCCATTTCTCAACACATTAAAAAGATCTTCCATAAGTTTTTGGTGTGGGTGTCTGTCTTTTCTTCGCCTAAATCTGACACCCACACTCACATCCACACCACACACCCTGGTTGAGTCTGGTCAGTTGGACAGTTCATAACATTTTCCACAACATCACAGACAACAACGAAAAGACTGCTCCGCAAAAAAGCAGCCTCAAATTTATCCGATTGTCTTCTTATAAATGATAATATTAAAAAGATCATTTATTTAGCTTTAAATCAGGCCTATCATTTTCTTTCTAGACTCTAGATTTGATGTTAGCGTTGCTTTGAAGAAAATGAAAAAAGCTACGTTGAAACAAATTAATTCATTGGTAGGACCTTAATTTGAAAAAATTCAAAATAGTCTCGTTTGATAGTAGTCACTGCTATCCAGCTGATGATGAATTAAGCTAGTTCTTAAAATTAGATTTTAATTTGTTCATCGAGACCAAAGGTTAGTTTTTAGCAGGAAGGAAGACTGCTGTTACTTGATCAACTCGAACATGTTCAACAGTCCAGTCACTAAATAAATAAAAAAGTTACTCACAAGATGCTATAGGTTTGTTTGATATGATATATTTCTACTACTACTTCTTGCCTCATTTGGTTTTTTGCTTGCTGTTTTTTATTCTGAATTGATCGGTTTTCGATCAAAATAAGAAACTAAACTGCTTTGTTGTCCCAGTGGATTTGATGCCCATCTTGTTAAGTGATGCATCTAGTATTCTGACGGCAACTCACTTTTTTTCTCAACAGTTTAATTCAACATTTTTGGCAATGTGATACAGTGATGACATCCTGTGCTTCATGAGGATTTCATAAGTACAACGAGAATCATAAGAGATGAACGGCAGTTCAAGAGTACAAATTTCAATCCTGGGAATATTGGTAAAACAGAATCCACCGATTACCACTTGCGTTTGAATCATAACTGCAGTTCAATATGAACAGGAATAGTAACAATCGAGAAGGAAACCGTTACTTTTGTGTAACACTATGCGCAGATGTCTTTCATCGACATGGTTTTGTTTTGCAGCAATTGATCAACATAATGCTACATGTTTTCATTTAGAACAGCAACCATTGAACAATTTCAAAAAAATTCATCACTTGTTAATGTTATGTACTATCTTTTGATTTTTTGTTTTCAATGTATCAACATTATATTATTTTGATCAAATGATTTTATTTGGTAATAGTAAAATAAATTGTACATCAAGTGACTCAATTTATTTAAAGTATATTTAATGTGTACAACTATTTTAGTCAGTTAACTAGCTCATCGTACTGTACAACGCATATCTTATCATAGAATACTAATTGTACGACGTGGCTTACGAGGGTACATTTACAGATGTCGATTCGATTTTCAACCGGGACTTAGTGCATGCTGTAAACTTTAGTGAACTAGATCCACCATAAAAGAAGTTCATCCTTATGGGTTATTTCTAAGGAGATCGAATATTTTTAGTGAATTTTCGCCATAGAACCCACACTTGCAATTAGCTCGAATTTTGACATTAAAATTTGATACATAAAGACTTTCATGAAACTAGCTTGCATAAAAATTTTCAACTAAGTCTCTCCAAGTTATGAAACTTTCAAGGTATAGGTTATCTTCGATTGGTAGTTTATAGAGGATGAGTTCTTTGAAAGTTTCATGTCTCGAAGAAATTTAGTTAAAGAACTCTGAAATTTAGTGTGCAAGCTACTCTAATTTAGATTAATATGCAGACAAAATTTTAGGTCAAAATTCGAACTAGCTATAAATGAGGGATCGTACAGAGAAAATTCACTAACGGCATTCGATCTTCTTAGAAATAGGAGATAAGCATCAATTTACTTTTATGATAGACATCATTCACTAAGGTATACAATATGTACTAAGTCCCAGTTGAATAGCAAATTGTCGCCTAGGAGTATTCTCTTATTATAAAAACTCCTAACAATAATAGTATTTATCAAAGTTACTTTTAAACAAAATTACAATTAGTTATGATGATAAAGTTTTAGCTATATTGTGTATAAGTTCCAGTAAGTATTATTTAATATTGATATTGTATTTTATATTAAATTTTTCTTCTAGAGTCTATTCAACATATATATAATATATGTAAATCAGAAAGATCTTGTCCACAATTGACACATGTACTTTTCAAAATCCATCAAACTCTTTGTTAAAAAAATACAAGATCATTCATAAACAGATATGTTTGACGGTCAATCATTTTTTAAATAGTTACCTTTTCGAGACAGACAACAATAAAATAAAATCTTTCTCCAATGAAAATTAGCCTTTATTCTAGATAATGAGATTTTTATGATTCATGAACTCAAATGTATGTTTTTTTTTGCATACAAATTGAAAATAGAATTTGTGTAATTTAGTTTGCTCTTTTGTTTTTTTTGTCTGTACGGGCATTGAGATTGAAGTGTAGTTGGCAATAATCTATTTTTTTTTTCTATTCCAATAAAGCCTTCGAAATTCTACAAGGCTATTGTTATAAAATTTTGCAACATATCGATATTTTTTATCGGATGAAAAAAATTGATCTCTATACCTGTCTTCGTCTAAGAAAATATTGTTTACATATATTTAAACAACAAGGTATGATCACTTCATTTTATTTGATCTTATTAATTTTGAATGTTAAATTCTTAAGCCAACTTTTAGAAAAGCGAAGTTTTTATATGCAATGAATATCGACATTTATTTCGATAGTTTGTCTTAAGAGACCAGTATCTCATTCCAAATAACTCGATACATAATAATACCAAAACTAATCGAATGATATGCATTTTTTTTGGATCGTTTCATTACCGACTGAATCTATTTCGATAGTTGACTAATGATCCTATTGCATGTGTGAATACAACGAAAACCAAGCCTCTATTGAAGTAAATAATTTAACAATGTAAATTTGCATGATACAACAAAATTTCAATAATAAGAAATATTTCAAAATAAATTGAAAAACCTCTCCTCGTATGTCGTTACTAACACAAAGACATCCTACATTATCTTATAATTTCAAACTTGAAACAAAAAAAATAATAATTTAATTTTTAAAAGAATTCTTCTTTGCTTCATATGCATAAAATTAAGCTCATGAAGTTTTATAAATCCAATGATTGTACACGTTTTGTTTCATAATCAAATAACATGTTATATCAAATAGCTTTTATTTGTTCTGATTTCTCAACTAATATCTCCCAACAAGAATTTTACACAATATTTATTAACTCACGGTAAAAAATCAAAAAAAAATTTTATACTAAATAATTTCAAATAACAATAATTCTTAATCGCAATAAAAAATCAATCATTGTTTGAAACTTAAAAGAATTTTTTTTTAAATAACAGTTGTGGTTGCTACTATAACAACATCTATTTAAATGGCGACGAAATATCCATTCATATGTGAAGAATCAAATTTTGCATCCATGTAAATATTATTTTTATACTCTACGAAAAGATGTTTTTCTTTTTTTTTCGCTCCCTCTTTCTTGCTCTCTTTCTGAACTCATACAAATAAATCAACATAAGTTATAATAATTTTTCTTTTCCATGTATCATATGTATTAAAGTTCTATTCTTCATAAACATTTTTTTTTCTTTGAATAATTCTTGTACGAAGTACAATACTTCACCATATATGTTTGTCATTCACTTTCTTTCTTTCTTCTTCTTTTTTTACAATGAAAATCAAACAAAACCGTCGAAGAAACAGAACGGATCAAGTGTTGTTACTCTCCTATTTCAACTTTTTCTCCCATCACCTGTTGTTCATTAGAAATGATGCATACACGCGATCGTGAAAGAGAACAATGAACTTTTATATTATTTCTTTTTTTTCTTTCTTTTTCGTCTTTTTATTCAAGATATATATGTATGGAATCAATGCACAATATATAATAGTTCAATTTTATCGCCATTATGCCATTATCATTTTCATTTTTACAAAATAGTCAAACTAATAGCTCAAGTTCATCATTAGAGAACGATTCAAAAAGTGATCAAAGTGAGGAGGAGGAGGAGGAGGACGACGACGATAATCATATCAACATTGGACATTATAAAACACGAACAATGCAAAACGATAACGATATGTTAGAACGTCCTTCAGATTCTGATGAAAGTTGTAGTCAAAGTGACAATACCGATAATGATGATAACGATGATGATGAAAAAGAAAACGATCTTTTTACTTCTTCAAATAATACTCAATCACAGTTTTTAACTCGACAATTAACATTGTATGAAAATGATTGGCCAAAAAAGACTTCGATTGATGAAAATAAATTTAAGAAGACAATATATCGAGGTGAAGGAACATTATTAGAAACACAACAAGATAATACATTATTTTTAGATTCTAATCAACATCGATTGGTAAGTGTTTTTTATTTAGCAAAGACGAGTAAGGATTAGAACTACTTCAAGTATTTTCAAGATGTCTATTAGAAAAATCGATAGAAATTAGATTTCATAATTCACTTTTGTATATAAAATACTTTGATATTTAAAATGTTAATCATCAAACTGATACGTTTTAAATATCGTATAATACAACATTTTATTAAAACTTCGCTTTAATTAAAATAATCTTCCTACCGAAATGATAATACTTCGATCGTCACTTTTTTTTTTATAATACATATATCCGATAAATTAATTCTTCAATTCATACCTTTCTCTTTTTTTTTTTTTCTTACACTGTAAGCCAATGCGTCTATTACTTCTTTTCTTTTTCTCCCTATATATAGTTTTCACCCGAACGAAGCAAATTAGTTGCTAGCATTGATACAAAGTACCAATCGCGCAATATTCATACATCATTATCAAGTGATTTTAAAATGAGTACACACGAACTTCAACCTAAGTTGGAATCAGATACTATGCAGACAACATCAACATTATTTCAAACTAAAATATCTCCAAAACGTACATTAATAAAAAATGAAGGTAAACGACAAACACTTTCAAAAATTCCTATTCGAACTAATTCATCATCGCAATCAAGATCACGTAGTCCACCAATAACAACAACAAATAGGTTAGAGAATTTATTCTTTAATTTAATTTAATTTAATTTTTTCATTTTAGATATATTCCATCACCAACAATTTCATCTAAAATACCTGTCCCAACATCAACAGTCAGCAAAGGTGCATTTCGTTTTTTTACTTCTAATGATCGTTCATCATCATCATCAATATCACAATTACCACCAACAATAGATTCTGCACAAAATTCAAATCAAACTATTAAAAAAATTTCTCCATTTACACCAATCAATCATACAAAAACATTTTTATCATCAAAAAAGTTTTCTTCGTCAGCTGGTAATACACCACCAACAAAGCATCGACATATACAACTACCAAGTAGTGATGATGATTCGGAAACAAGTCATCTTGAAGAAGCTGATCTTAAAGTAAAATTAAAAGAACAAAAACGACATGGAAAACAAACGGGAGAATTATTAAATAAATTACATGAAAATTATGAACAATTATTAGAAAAATATGCTCAAGCAGAAAATACAATTGATCAGTTACGTTTTCAACCGAAACTATATGGTGATAATACACCACCAGTAAATGCATCTGAAGTAAAAATATAAGAGAAAATTCTTTTTTTTAACAATCATACTTTATTATGATTTATTTTTTTTTTGTCAAAAGGGTACAGTACATTTTATCCAACAACCGAAGGTTCATATAGCAACATTACGATCAAATGGAGTGTATCATTCAACAAATGGTACACCACTTTCATCGATAAGACAAGTATCTTCAACAACATCAAACACCACTACAGCAACAACAACAGCTGTAAAAAGTAAAAATTTATTTTTCAAAAGAATTTATACAATATAAGAACACAACATTGTTATATTAAGTATAGCACTGAAATATAATTAGTAATAATTTTAATAGCTAATTAAGTTTTTTAAAAAATCGTAATTCAAAATACGTTGTGGCAGTTCGTTTTTTTAGACAGTACCAACTGACAGAGCACAAAATTCTGAAGAATATGAAGGCATCATCGCATTTTGTATAACCTTACAAGCATTATAAAATACAAAAAAAAGCAAAACTTTTTAAAAAATGCACGTTGTTTTGGTTTTCATGATACTTGTAAGATCGTAGACAATGCAGTGACCACTCATATTCTTCAGAAAATTGTGTTCTAACAGTTGGTAATGTTAAAAACCGACTGAAACAACGTCTTTTTGGTATTTGAAAAGTGATACGTTCAATTTGTTAGAAAAATTTTTCCTGCTAAACATAATTCAATATACACAGTTCATTTCTAATTATTAAGATAGTTTAGTAAGATATCCTTAGAAAATCAAATCGTTTATATTCGTCTATTAGTTTTGATTATGACAGAAATCTAGACGATTTTATCATTTACTCATTATATACACTAGTGAACAAAAGTGTCCACTCGAGCCGATCTCAGTCAGTGTATGTCCCAGAGGTCTGAAAATTTGTGTACACATACTTCAACACTAATGTAGGTCATGAGCATTGCGGCAGACTATTTATAAAATTTGATGCTGCTTCTCGCTAAAAATACGACTAATCCTTGATATTTTTTTTACATATAACTGAAATCTCGTCTACGATCTTTCTTTATCCAGAATACAAGTTGATTTGCTCGAATACTGATGTTTACTGTAGAAAAGCTTATCGACAACTTGGAACTCATTCCATTGACCTATCACTGAGTCATTGATTTCTAAGGGACAGTAGATGGTTTCTCTCTATAGCAATGATCACAGTAAAATGAGCATACTGTTTGAAAGAATTGATAAATTTTAATGAAACTAGTAATGTGTAGATAGCTGGGACTTAGCATTACATATTGAGGAGTCGTCTGACATAGAATACTCTTCCTTGTCAAAGTTATGAAGCAGATAACAGAAATAGTTGTCATCCATCATAACTTTCTTTGTAATTAGCTTCACAATGCAAATGACCTATATTCTTGAGGAAGTACGTGTAGAAAAGTTTTTAGATCGCTGTTAAATACAGTGGCCGAGATCTATTATATTAATTAGAGCCAAACGACCTCAAGAAAATTTCAAAGCTGTAGTTCTAGTTAGTAAAAATACAACAATAAAATGTTTGTAATTTCTGTTCCAATAAAGTGTCGTTGGAACCGATCATAATTTCATAAGGGTACAACAATCAATTTTGTTCAAACGATAAAATAACAAAACAACGAATACTTACAGTTTAATTAAATTCACGATAATGATGTTTTCGTTGTTACACACGATAAACTTGTAGTCAGTGGAATAGTTTTTTCTTTCGTTCTGTAATAAATTTTCGAACATGTGCGTTACATTTTTCTCTTCCTCTTGCATCTCGAATTGTTGAAATGTTTACGTAGAATCTACACGCACTTATGTAAATATGTGCGGGATTACCCTACTTTACCTGCAGAGTAGGGTGAGAAAACTTTTCTTAGTCAGGATACAGGATACGAAAAAACTTATCTTGCTACACATCTCTGCTGTGATACTATTTATCACTTTTAAAGTCTTTCAATAAGAGGTAGTACCTAGGAAAAGTGAGATAAAAACTTCACAGAATAAGGCAAAGGTATCTGATTAGATAATGACTCATTTTAACGCGTTAAAATACGTCCTATTTATGCTGAAAAAATAATTTTTGGATTTTTGTATAAAAACAAGTTTGTGGGCATTATTATCTTCAAATTCACGTTCTTTTCAAGAAAAACAATTGTTTTGAAAGCATAAAGAATTGAACATTTTAACGTGTAACAAAGCTTTTTTTCAACGATTTTGTCTGACTGAGTAGAGTTATCGGATGGAGTAGAGTGAGAGTAAAAAAATTGTTTTCGGTCAAGACACTAGCTACGAAAAATCTTGCTTTGTACATCTCTACACCTGTGATATCAGTCTTAGTGAATGCACTGAGCTCAGGGTATCTCTACTACAAGTATGTCACAAGAACCTCGAAGTACTTCAACACCTTAAGGTATTTTATGAAGTTTTTAGCACTTAACTACAAAATGGTTCTAAATGTTCAATCAATTAACTTGTTGAAAAAATTTTCATAGATTGCTATAGAAATTATATAGGTAAGCGGTAAATATCCATGTACTGAGACTATTCTCAACAAGGTATCCAACGAAGATCCTGTGACATTCTGATAACATGGTATCTAAAAAGGTACCCTGTGGACCACGGTCACAGTACAGTCACTATGGAGTATACAAAATAAATGTACAATAGAAAATGATATTTGTTTTTATATTAAGATTTGAATCGATTGTAATTTTGAATGAAAATTTTCGGTTGTCATGGTGATACAACATCGACAAACTATAGATGATTTTACTTATCATTGAAAAAAGTTTTGCTTCTAATACTAGTCCATTCCTCTTATATTTTACGGTCCGAGTTATAGTTTCGAGTAAGAGATATAAAAAAAAATTTGAGTTCGAATTCGGTTTTTAGTTTCTTTTTCATTCAAAACCACTGAATTCTAGTAATAGTAGTGTCGTTTAGAAGTATGAAAAACACATTTGTAATTGAAATAGTGATAATATCAACGACATATGAGTCTATAAAACTTTTTTTTTTCAAATCCCAATTCAAATTTCACTTCTAGAGTTACTGAGGTCAGTATTGGTTCACTTACGCCAATCTTGATAAAGAAAGTTATATAAAGAAGTTTTGAACATAAAAATATTTTCATAATGTTTCTTTTTTTTTTCATTTATAAAACAATTAAAAAAATAAACATAGACATCCTTCATTCTTTTTCTATTTTATTGTTTCGAAGACAAAAAATTATTTCTTTTCTTCCCTTTTTTTTTGTATTTCAAATTTTCTTCCATACGTACATAAATAGTGTTGCATTCGTTAGTCGTTCTTTTCTTTTTTATATGAGTTTCTAATCATAACATATGTCATGAAACCTATGAGAAGTCGACTGACGACGGTTAAAAGAAAAGAAATTGATTTCTCATATATATTGCCTCACTACAAAATTTCAAGTGTCAAATCGATTCCATTCAAGCTTTCGCTTTTTTTTCTCTTCTTGTTTCATTTGTTTATTAGCACATTTCAACCATAAAAAGGAGTGAACATACTTTTCAACTAACCTTGATTTAACACAAGATAGAAACCATTTAAAACACATATAAATATATATATATGCATATAACTAATATATATGAAACAGGTATAAAGTTATATTGATGAGTTCATTTTGCAAACGATTAGAAAGAAGTAAAGATGAAATAGTTGAACGAAATTGATTGCTTAATAGGTATGCATGCATTTACTTATGTATGTCATTTATAGAAGCTATTGTTCATTTTTCTTTCGAGTCCTTAGAATTCACTTTTTTCTTTTTTGTTCAAAAGAATCTAAAAAAAGACACTCATTTATCAGAGGTGAAATTTATTTTTCATATCGATAATGGTGAAATTGGAGATTATTTTTTTACGAAAAGAATGAATAGATAGAAGGTTAGATACTTTTTATTATCTGCCTCGTGGTTTAGAATTGATAGCCATCTTATTCTTTCAAGGCTTGAAATTTTTATGTTGATCAATTATCATATAGATCTTTCTTCGTCCTACATCTTCTATATATTTATCATTTATGAAGTTTTGTTTTCTCTGTAACATTCCTTATGAATACTTTTGAGTATTTTAATATATGTAAAATGAAATTCAAATGATTGAATGAATATTTGTTTCTATATTTATTTTTATTAATATCTAGGTTCATCACCAGCTAATTCAGGTACAGTAGAATCAGTATTTTTCGATGAACCTGTTCCACAAAAAATTATTGTACAAGAATTAACAACACCAGAAACTATTAAACTTGATTTACTTATTCAGACAAAAACATTAATTGAAAAAGTAAATTAATAATTAATTGAATAAAGAAAGAAAATAAAAATCTTATTCTAATTTTTTTCTTTTTTCAATTTGTATAGATGAAATCATTTCTTACATTAATGGATGCTAATCAATTGAGTTTAGCTGAACAAAAACAAGTTTATGAAAATATTAAAGAGGATTATGAAAAGTTATTAAAAACATTTGATCAAACAAAACATAGTAGTGATCTTACTGATATTGATTTTGATGCGTAATGTGACAAGTTTTTTATTTTCTTAGAAATTCTTATTTTAATAGATTTTTGTTTAGAGATTTAAATAAAGAATTAGAAACAATGAAACAATTATTAAAAGAAATCGTTAAACGAATAACAGATAATTTACTTGGTAAATCAAGTAATGCTTCCGAAACTGGTCATTTAACACGAGAAGAAAGTCATTCGGTAAAGATAAAAATTTCATAGAATTGTTTTTATTACTGTATTCATTTAAATTATAGAGTCAATTATCTACTCAATCTTCTCTATGCAATCAGGCTGATCTTATGGATCAATATAAAAAAATCTTAAATGCTGTTAATACAGATGTTGTAGAGAAAAAAACTGACATTAAATCTTTACATACAGGATCAGGACAAATGAAAAAAACGTAAGTAAAATTTTTTCATTAAATTTTACTTCTTGAACTTTTCTTTAGCACTTCTAGAGATTCATCTCAATCAGATATTTCTAATCGTCTACCATCAACAACGAAAAATCACAAACCATATGTTTATGTATCCGGAGTATGTGTAACTTCTACTGATAAGTGCCATCAATCGTATTTGGTCGCACTCAGAAAAAAATTTTGGTTCTGTTTTCGCGCTTAGTAATACATGTACTAGCAAAAAATACGATATGATTTTCTTGCAGTGTCAACGTGCTCGACAACTCTGTTGTTTACGAAAAAAAGGATTAGTTTTACTATGAGAACTACAACAGCTAGTGATGAATAGGATTATCTTATCCATATCTGATGAAGTCATTTTCTTTTTGTCATACTATGATGCCATCCAAAAAACTTATCAAGAGAAGAATGTTTTAAATTCATTCTTTGTTTGTTATTTTAAATCTTTTGTCTAATGAAAAAATGCAAGTTTTTATTGAATGAAAAATGAACTTCAATGTCCTTTCATTTAGAAACGTTTAATATTTGTAGAGACATTTAAACAATGAGTACTAACAAGAATTTTCATAGAGTTCTATCTATTTCAAGTTTTTGTAATTTTCTTTAATACTTCTCTATTATAATTGCTGTTCATTGGAATAAAATACGATAGTCATAAGGAATTGTTCGCATTTCCATTTGAAATTAATTTTCAACATCATTTTGGATAAATTTCAATTTACACAAAATCAATCAGTAAACAGAAAATTCTGATGAATCTAAACAGTTACAGAACTCACAAAGATCTTCAGCGACTTTTTACAAACTAAGTAAACTCATCGAAAGCTAAGAATTCATGGATAGAAAACATATGAAAGAAGAAGTATTTTTACATTCTACTAAGCAGAAACAAAGCGTTGAAAGCTTCTAAGAGAAAAAGCAGATCGTAAATTTTGGGTGAATCCAATAAAATTCAATCACTGAATTCCCTATTGTATTTGTTGGAGCTCAACAAGATTCTAATATTCTAGATCTGCTATTTTGTTTCATATGACTAGTATAAAAATAAAAATATGAATCCATGTTACACACATGTTTGTTGACACTACTGTCGTCATATCGTGGCACCCATAAGAACCAACGGCGTACTGGCAATAGAATGCCAATTAGAGATCAGGCTACGATTTAGGTATCAAACTACTATCAGTTGATTACCAATATACCGGCGGCTCTTATCCTGTTTAAATCATATGGGGAATTAACTAATGTAAACTGGAACAAATAAAGGGAAATTGAGACAATAGAATAAGAAAGTCGTAGAAAAATCACTTCAAGGCATAAATATTTCTTTATACGAGAAGAGTGATCACATACTATAGAAGGAAAGAAATCAATTGATCCTATAGACCGATTTCTTTCTTGTCCGATCACATTCCTATTTATATCTCTGACCCGAACAGATCTACACATCTTAATTATTTATAGAATTCCGATGATGAACAACAACAAATTAGTGACACTACACCAGTTCCATTAATGAAAGGCGTTGAATCAACTTTATTCAGTGTCGATCATATTCCATCAAGATCAAATAAACATCATCAACAAATCAATGAAGAACAAACACATATACGTGGCATCACAACAACAACAACAACAACAACAACAAAGAAAAGAAAATCTCCTAGTAAACAAACAATTCAAGAATATGATAATCTTGAAAATATAAATAAAACAAAACGAAAACTTAAAACTGAACAAAAAGTAAAAAAAAATTATTAATAATAAATTTATTACTACATAAGACTCTCATAGAAAATTAAAAATAATTATCAATCTGAAAAAGAATTAACTCCATCATCATTTTCTATGCCAACAGGTGTTGCTCGATGTTCTGCTAGTTCAATGCGTACACGTACAAGCGATTATGATAGTGGAATTGGTACAAATAATACTACTAAATTAAGTCGTGATAGGTAAACTGATTATATAAAAAAGAGCGGAAGAAAAAAAAAAGAACTAATTCTCTAAACTTTAGTAAATTAAACGCAAGTACAATAGATGAAAGTCATTACCAATCACTCGATGAAGAAAGACGACGATATTCCGATGAAGAACAAGGTAACTAGAATATTAAAAAAACAGTCTTATGTTTTCTTTCTTCTTTTTGTATTGTTTAAGAATCGATTTCAAATATATCTTCATCACGTTCGAGTGGTTCAGGCGCCGCAAGTCCCGGAAGTCCTTATACGTAAGTTTTGTACCTCTAAAGTCCTCATACTTGACATATAAGTGCCAACAACAAAAAGTAATATTTAACAAAGTCAATCAATAAATGAAAGAAAAGAAGAAGAAAAAAAAAAAAAAAGAAAAGAAAAGAAAATTTTCCTATTATACTTTCGTCCTTCGATTTACATTCATATAGAATTTGTGGTTACATTCATACGCTTCTTTTTTTTTTTTTACTTTTTTAAAGCAAATATACAAAAAGATTCGATCGTTCATTGTCACTGAAACAACTTAATGAGAATCGTCGTCGAAAACCTAGTGGTCTTTCAGGTAAAGTACACACAATTGAACATTTCCTGAAATGTGTTTTTATTACTTTTTTTATGCATTATTGAATAGAACGCATTGAGTTATTTCGAAACGGTGTCTCTACAAGTTTTCTAGAGAAGATTTTTTAAAAAATTTCAAATTTCATCATAAAAGATATTCTGTACAATTGTATAAATATTTAATTCCCTTTGGCATCATAAACTTAACTACAGAAAAGTATTTTTAAAATTACTTATTTCTAGTCAATTGTTTATCACGAAACTGGAAAAAGTATTTATAGATTTCTATCGATGAAAAAAAAATCATTATATTCACAGTTGTATGAAAAATTAACATTTTTTTATGATGAAGTCCAAAATTTTTTGAAGAACTTACTTTCGAAGCATTGAAGAGGCTCTTTTTTGAAGTAACCCAAGGCATTCTATCCAATCATGTATTAAAAAAAATTGCAAAAATCTTGAATTGTACATACTTTAAAAAAAAGACAAATCATTATTATGTTCATTTCATTTATCTTGGTTTTTTTTCTTCGTTTAAATCAAATAAAGATGGTTATCCATCGGATATTGAAACACATATAACTGGTTCATTTGATACATTTCCACAATCAACATCAAGTAAAAAAAAATCTCATTATAATTGGCAACCACAACGAACTACTACTCATCGTTCACGTTTAACATCATTTCATCGAAGTTTATCAACTGATAGTATTGACATAGAAAATTATAAAACTAGATCACATCGGCCACAAACTGCACCACAATTACCATCAAAAACACTAAAATATTATAAAATGAGTAGAAAATATCAAAGTGGATTTATCCATCAACCTGCTAGACTATCGAAACAATCTGAAACAATGTATAAAAGTTCATGTTATATTGATCAAGCACATACACATCGAAAATCACAAGAAAAACTTAATCAAAATCCAAGACAATATCACAAATCAATACAAACATTGAATAAACAACAAACTAATAATCTTTATTTAGATCCTCAAACAGGCATTATATAGTATGTAGTTTTTTAATCTTCGATAACAAAAAAAACAACATTAACTGTCATATATTTATAGTCGATATATTCAAGATAAAAGTAAACCTTCAACAAAAACTCATTATCAACCAACATCTCAGACGAAATCATCTCAAGAATTATATCGATGTGTGGAATGTGGTAGTATTACGACATATTATCATCGGTTTGTACTCTATATTGATTAAAAAAAAATAAGAAAATGTTAAGAAATATGACACTCATTCGAAGTTTTTATATATCAATACAAAAAAAGAATCTTTGCAAAGGATTACAGCTCAAATTATTAGTTCTTTTTTGTTTGCATTTCTTTCTAATATGCAGAAGATTCAAAATGTTAGCAAATCTTTATTTTCTATTTGATTAGTGTTGTGGGATAGAGTGCATCGAGTTACCTATGAAAAAAACTAGATTTTTGGAAATAAGTTTGTCCTAGAAATATTGAAAAATGATTAAGTTCTTAATATCCTGATCACAGTCGTCCAATCATCATATATATGTAAATATGTTATTTTATTTTGCACTTTGTAGAACATCATAAGAGTCATTTCCTGACTCTGCAGACGAAATTGATCAAAAACATTCTATGTACATAAGTTTTTGTTTTTTGGTCAATTTTCTCTACAGAAGTCAGGATATAGACCTTATAATAGACAACTCTAATCATGATATTTTAAGCTTAGTCGTTTTTCCATATCTATCGAACGACACTAAATAGATTGAAAATAAAAATCTGCTAAAATTTGAATTTTCGATACCTTCATATGAGTAAAATATATTTTAATATATTTTTTTTTCAGTCATCATATCAATTCAACTACCAGACGAGTAACAACTGATCTAGATGATCCAGGTTATGAAAGTGGAAATCGGTATGCATAATATAAAATATTCATTTTTTTTTTATTTTTTTTTTTTAATATTTAAGTAAAGTCAATCGATATCGTCGATATATTGATCATTTAACATCTTCCGAAAGTGATTCAGATGATGTAAGTAGAATAATGATTACGTATGACTAATGCATTTCTATGGATTTTATTTAAGAATCCAACTTATTGTGATATGTCTGCATTAAATGAAGCTTATGAACGAGCAAAAAAAGTACAAGAACATTCACAAAATTTATCTAAATATATTAGTCGACAATTGAAACTTGTTTTAGCTACTATTTAAAAACAAATTAGAGAAAGATCTTTATTTTCTCGCTCTCTCTCTCTAAATCTCTTTGCTTTCTTTTGTTTCTTGCTTAAGACTCATCTAATTTTATCGTTATTTTAATAACGATAGATAGCAACTAGATCTTATTCTATGTATTTTTTATTCTCATTTTTATTCATTCTAAAGAAATAATAATAATAATAATATAAATTAATGATTAAATATTTAAATAACATAACAATATGATTTTTTTTTAATGATGCTCACAAAGATTATTCAATGCTTGCAATACTTGTACATTTATATCCAATGTCAATATGTATGAATAAGTAAATGTTTATATCCTTAAGAATAGATTAAGGTATTAAATGGTTTCTCACATAACAACTTCTACACTTTCAATAATTAAAGATGATGTAATATAAAGTTTATATTTATAAATAGTGACCAGTGTTCGTTTTGTTAGTAAAAAAGAACTGAAGAATGCGAAGAAAATTTATATTTATTCGTGAGAAGACTTATGTGTTCTTTTTCAAATCAAATATTGATCGTGTTTGAAAATCTAGACTATTATGACATTAAAATAGAGTCCGGTAGACCTAAAAACATTGCAACCGGAACTACTGAATCATTTGCTGGATAATAAAATTCTGAAACCTATGTCGAGAAATCTTCATTTTTTCATTCTCGAAATTAAAGATCTCAGTATACATTTAAAATATTGTTTTGTTTACGTACTGAAATTATTTATTAGTTTCATCTCTTTACGTGATATCTTGGGAATCGAATCTGAATTATATATTAAAGTAGTGAAAATTCGATCAACGGCTATTTGTAATAAATCACGAGACGATTGCATGTATTTAGTTTTTTTTATTTTCCCTAATTATTATCATAGCTTATATTCGATTGACTATATTGTAGCTAATCATTTTCAAGTTATTACAATTTTACTGAATTTTTTATAATTTCTGACAAGATATTGATGAAAAAAACGAGTTAGAGAATTTCAACTTAAGAAGATGTATTCTCCTTAATATATTGAATATTCCACAACGATCATATGCCACATGTAGACATGCACGAGATCAACTTTTTTTGGACAAATTATGCTAATAAATAAAAGTTTAGCTTATTTAAAAATCAAAAGATGATGAGAACATATTTCAATGTTTATAATGATGCAACTGTTTGTTTTCTATTATCTAGGCGTGTATACGAATGTGATTCGTTTATTGATTAAGATTCAATATTTACAGATTTTATTTGTAGTTATGTTGTCCTTTGTATCATGATGTTTTTTTTTCTGTATTAGAAGAGATTAACATGAAAATAATAATTTGATTTATGATATACGAAAAACTTCACTTGAAAAGTCATAAAACCCAATATTTTCAACAGTTAATATCTCAAGAATAACATGTCTGTTAAGACTGCAATTTTCAGGATATTCTAATGTCTACAAGACCAAAGTTTCAGGTTATAATTTCATAATTTAATCTTTTCACTCATATCTTGCCAGAGATAATAAAACTAAGTAAAATTGTAATAACTTGAGAAGAACAATGAATAGAGACGAACCCTTATAAGCTTCTATAGATCTCATCAGTGTTTACTAAGGGGGCAAAATATTAGTTCAATTGACGAGTCAAACTTAAAGAACTTCTCTTGTAAGTAACTATGTACTGTATTTTTGTTGAGTCAAACAAAATAAATATCTTAGTAATTTCCTTATATACTTAGTTTTAATGTTTTCGTTATCTACTTCTTATATTGTACAATATTATAAACAAAATGGGACTTTAAAAGCAGTAACAAACCATTGTAACTCTTTTCTCTATTAATGCTCTTTCAATAATACGACTAAATGCTTGCAGTTTGAACTTTAGTAAGTTATTTATTTTTTTAAACGAATTTCGAATGTTTTCATCACATTGGCAAATAATTTCTATTCCATAATTGATAACGTTCGGTAATTCAACAAAATATTTTTATGATCAAATAGATAGATCATTGAAAATCTTAGTTACAATACTGAATATCTACTAGTTAATGTGGATCATTTATCACAAGATCCATTGATACATTTATTTCACTATGACGAATAATTACAACTCTCTACCATAAATAAAGAAGTAATAGAAAAAGTTATCTACTAATTTTTCTAAACAAAAGAGTCCGCTAAAAATTCTCAACAATAAAAAAAAATCTTTACATCAATGCATTAGTAACTCGATCATCTCTACAAAACGAAAGCATTAGTTTACATTACAGCCTCCTAATTTTGAACAAAAAAAAAAACATCTTATGCCCTCTACCGCGTATATCAATTTGAACCAATGATTATTATTCGCGTAGTATTCTTTGTTCATTTTGAATTTTAGTTTGTTCGTTAAACATTTCAGTTAGTTCAATCTCTATTCATCTTCCAGTAACTTACTCTTGCTATTGAAACAAAATGTCAAAACGTCATCTTGCTGTTCAAAATAAAGGTAACGAACATGAACAACAACCACAATCATCAACTATTCAAACACGATTATCATCAAAACGTGCTAATACAAATGAATTGATTTCAATTAAAAAACCAAAAATTGAAGAAAAACATGTTGATAAAGAAAACATACCAAAACGTGAAACACGTCAAAGTACAAAGGCAAAAGAACGCGAACTTTTACCATTACCACCATCACCAGTACCAGTATCACCAATCGAAACTATCGAAGCAAAACCTGATAAACCTATGAATCCTCCTGATAATACTGATGATGAAATTGACAATGACGAAGACGAATATTTAACATTACCAATTGATGATAATGATAATGGTAAAGATCATCCAACAAATAAAGAATATGTTATCTATGAAAATGCTCGTCCTAATAAACAACCATCAATTATATCTAAAACAGCACGTTATTGGACGAATAAATATCGTAAAAATCTTCGTCATGTTAATCCGGATGCCTATGGAATGTATATTCATGCTGATTTTAGTTGTTATGGCGAATTAGAAGTTGTTGAAAATTGTTTACTTGATTTAACTAAAACAATATTTATTGTTCAACAAGGTATTTTAGCACGTTTAAATTATCAACGTAAACCAGCTGATAAAGTTAATTATGTTCTTGGCTTTCGTCGTCTTGAAACATTAACATTATTACTTGAATATACTGATAGTATAAGTGGTATTGATGATGGTGATCGTTTTTATGCTATAATGCGTGTTATTGGTTCGTGTTATGTAACAATTCTTCGTGGTTTATTACCTGATGTAATGTTTAAAAAAATTCAAACTGTTGATGAAATTTTAATTAAAAAATTAAATAAAATTTTGAAACAAATACCAAATTTTAGACAAGTTTTAGAACAAGCTCTTATTATTGGTCATATGTTTTTAACTATTGCTGATGTTTGTAGTGCATATACAAATATTCTTCAAGTATGTTTGTTGTTTTTTTACATGATTTAATAAACAAGATATTGAATTATTTGGGTTTGCTTTTTTTTAGATTGTTTATTGTAATTGGGTTTTAATTATGGATAAAATATCAATTGATTTAAATGAAAAATCCAATGATAAACTTATGAAAGCATTAAAACATGCTTCTCAAATTGATAGAAATAATCTTGAATATGGTGATAAAGAATCATTTGATTTTTTAAAAGAATTACGTTCATATAAAGTAAATTATGGTCTTGGAGGTGATGCACATGATCTTAGTAAATGGTCACGAAATGAACGTGCGGTTTATTCATATCGACGTTTTAATCCTTTTGATGGCTTGTTTTCTTTTCTTTAGAATAATATTTAATCGTTTTCTTTTTGTTGTTGTTCATGTGTCATAGTACTTTTTATTTTTTTGTATATAAACATATTAATTCAAGATATGATTATGTTCGTTTCTCTTTTATATTTCAAAAAAACAAAACAACATGAAATTATTGGATCTATGAAAGCGTTTTTTTTATGTAGCCAGTTCGTCCGATTAAATGTGTTTTTTTTCCTTTGGTTGCATCTATGCATATTATTTTTGACTGTGTGTGTCCATATATTAGAATATATTAGATATCAAAAGAAGCTTGAAATTTTTTTCTTTTATAAGGGTTTTTTTACTAAGAAACAGATGTACTTAAGGTGAAGACTAACAAACCAGTTTTTTTCATTTCTTAGCAGACACACACGTTAAAAGATTAGAGTGTTGTGAATATGGGTAAAAAACTATGTAACGTGAAGTATGTAAAGATATACTGATTACCAAGGTCGTCATCTTTCATTATTTATTTTTCATAGGACAAAGAAAAAAGATATTATAATGCGTTAGAATTTTCTATTAATATTTATCTTTTGTTTTGTTTTGTTTTAAAACCACTTGTCTAACACTATCTTTCTTTTATTCATAGGCAATTTAAATCATTATTTGCATCAATGTAATAAAATGTAATATAATTTGTCAACGAAAAAGACTTTGATAAAACTTCTTTTTTTTTGTCGAACGATACATATTTGTTGTTAAGCATAAATTTGATTATGTGTATGTTAAGAAGCTATAAAATGTAGTGTATTGTTTTTTCTTGCGCATAAAAATTTTTAATCTTGATTTGTACATATGAATCTTAGTTATCTCAAATTTCATATAGTTACTCAATTATCATTGTCACACACAGACAAATATTGTTTTTCGTTCGAGCAAGCGTATTGTACATATATTAGTTATTCATTATTCTTTTTTATTCGCAATATTACAATGGATTTCACAAAGAAAAGAAACAATAACAACCCATATATATATAAGTACACATACAAAAAAAATGCGGCTGTTGCAAACGAATTCTTTCTTTGTATGCCTTCTCAGCTGCTGCTGCAACCACTACTACTATTATTAGTTTTTACAAGGGAATCATTTATTGCATAAGACTGACTACCTACTTGTTATACGCTATCCATATGTGTGATTATTCTCTTTTTAAATTCTAGATAACACATCTTCTGCCATTGTTAACATCGTCTGGCCCACTTAGAAATTCTATTTCAATACAAATTTTTTGTGTGGCTGGTGAGTTGCAAAAACCCAGCGAAAAGAAAGAAGGTAAAGAATATTCAAGTATGTGGGCCGTATATTTGTTACATTTATCTATAGACGTGGTTTTTCCCTTGAAAAAAGAAGAACTTTATTTCATCTTCTTTTTTTTTCTGTTTACTTTGGATTGTGAGGTCAAGATTACCGCAACAACAATAACAAAAGCAACGATTGAAATACCTGTCTACTTTAGTGAGTTACAATTCTTTTTTTTTACATTCACAACACAACAAGAAGGACTATTTGCTGGTGTACGGTTTGAATAAACGAACATCTTCTTGTTAGAAACAAAAAAAAAAGGTATGTGTGAAATTTATTCATGTAGTTCGTTTACGAGACTTTAAAAGTGAAGCAGACAGTGAATACGAAGTGAAACAATATGTGTAAATAATTTGTACCAAATGTATTTTGAGATTGTTGATTGATCTCCTTTTTGAATTCATCACAACACTCAATATATTTTTTTCTATTAAATTTAACTTTATCTGTCTTTTCTTTCCTGACACCCTTCTATTAATAATATGAATTGACCAATAGAACAGTAAAAGTTAAGACAAATCTCAAATTACGTTAAGTATTCAGATGAAACCAATCCAACATACATGTTCGTTTATGATGGTAGCCCTATCTGCTATAAAATAATGCTAGTCATATAGATAGACATACATACATTCAGCTTAATGTCTCTCCTTTTCTTTCTTGATTTATTAAAGCAATCAAAACATCTATTCTTTGCGTGAACAATAGCTTATCTAGATAACTTATAAGTCAATGATTTTTCTCATTTAGAATAAACATCTGTTTTTATGAATGTATAACATACTTTTTGTTTGCTTTTTTTGTGTCAATTGATACAAAACATCAATGGTCTTTTACTCGAGCTTTTATCTATTTTCGTACATTTGTATTTTTTATATTCTTCGTTATTCCTTTATTTTTATTCATATTCTTGTCTGGATTAAGCTAAAAAAGAGTGAGTGATTGATGACGCTACCAAATAGAACATAACACTGAAATATAACATCACTGATGAATGATGATTGTTCATACATATATACAAAGAATAAAGCCATAATCAAAAGAGCACATAAACCTATTCTCAGCAATAAGAAGGATAAGGGTGCGCACATATATTATTCAAAGGAGAAAAAGAAAGATCAGACAAATAATAATCCTATGTTGAAAATATGACGATGATGATGGTTTTTACCGCAAAATTCTTTTTCATTTTCTTCTGTTCTTTTTCTTCGTGGTTTTATTATAAGTGTCCTCGATTTCACATACGTCAGTCGAAATTGACTTGACCACAAGCATTTGTATTCAGTCGAACGGAAGAATCTTTATATGTGATTAATCAGGTAGAAAAAACAAATACTTGTGTTTGCTACCTGAACTAGAACAACAACTTTTTCGACTAAATACAAGCGAAGTGGTGTAACACATAGATAAACATATTGCTTCGTCACACAATCATTGCATTCACCTGTAGGTATGCTCTTATTTTCAAGTGGTAAGAGAGTAGAAAAAAAGAGACCCTTTGCGTAGTTGAGCTGCTTAGCAGCGCAATATAGGAGAGAGGGAAAGAGAGAAAGAGAGAGAAGAAAAAAAAACAGACACAACTAGTAACAATCAATGTCTTGAGGGTCACCCATCAGTTAGTTAGTTAAGACAGACTGACAAGATGCATATGTCAATATGTGTTAAAGTGAATGGAAGTAGTGAAGAATCCTTCAAATATTGAGTTTTTTTTAATGTTATTAGTGTGTATATTGAAGATTAATTCTTTTTGTAGAAAACGACTATTACCTTGTGCTTGTCTTTTCATATTCCTAGGCATAACAAGATTTATTCTCGAGACTATTGAAATAGTTACCTGCGTATCTTTGTTTTCTTTTCTTGTCTTTTTCATTTTTTTTTTTTTTTTATTATCACAGCTATCTCATTTTTTATTGCGCTGTAAGAATAATCTCAACTATATGAAGAGAAAAAAAAACCACACTACCGCAAACAAGGAGAAGTTATCATCTATCGTGTGTCCTCATATCACACCGTGTCTCTCCCTCTCTGGAAAGTTTGTCTTGTTTCTCTTTTTTTCTCTCTCTCTATATTTAAATAACACAACAAATACAATATCATATTTTTGTTGTCGCCATCATTTGGGCCATTAGTGGATACACATAGAAGAAAGAAGGGGGTAAGCGAATTACATGTGTAAATATGTAAATAGTATAAACCGCATCGCTATAAAATTGAGGTCCCTTTAAATACATACAATCGTTGCAATGACAACAGCATTATATATAATAGTGTTAATAACACACATGTTATTAATTATTTGGTGATTCTCATCTCTACGCCTATAGAAATCAGTAAAGTCTTATTGTTAACTATCACAAACACATCTAGTGCGCGTACTTTTTATATATTTTTTTTCTTTCTCTCTTTCTTCCATTTCGTCCTTCTTCATCATCTTCTCTTCATTGTGCTCTTTTTTATGTGTGCTCTTCGCTTGTTGCAGCAATCGTCATATCAACGAGAGGGAGAGAGAGAGAGAGAGTAAGCAGTAAAGAGAAAGGAATGTTGAATAGAAGAATACAGTTAGATGAATGACGACCCAAAGAAGAGAAGGAAGGAAAGACGAGTCGGCTGATTATTCATGCTTTGCTTTCTCCCATTTTTTTTTTATTTAAATAAAGCTTTATATTTGAACGAAACGGGCAGACGAACACATCAATACACTGGGTCCCAATTTTGTTGGTCTATCGCATCGATCACATCTCTTGACTGAGAAAGAAAGATCACGAGACAGACATAGTTGTATATATCATAAGTTCACTCAAGTGTATCAGTGATGAGAGTTTTGTATGTAGAGTAAAAAAAAAATGAATAAGACAAAGTATAATTAGAGAACCTTGAGTTGACCTCTTTTAAACATTTCAACATAGTCATTTGTTTCTATCAACATTTCTTTTTTTAATATTCTTTTAGCCTTTTCTACAGTTATTTATTGTTTTATCCTTAAATATACATTAGAAAGTTTAAAATCATGTCTACGGAACGTGCTACTTCAACTGTTATTCATAAAACAGTAGTTGAACGTGGTTATCGAGCTGTTGATAGTTCAGGTGGCCGTGGTGGTATAGAAGCTGTACGTAATTTAGCTATTCAACATGAAGATGAAAAACGTGAAATGCAAGAACTTAATTCAAAATTTGGTAGTTATCTTGAGCGAGTCAAATTTCTTGAAGCTCAAAATCGTAAATTACAAGCTCAACTTGATGATCTTAAACAAAAATGGGGTAAAATTTAAAAATAAATACAACAAAAAACATAAATATATATATATATATATATGTATATTGCTTCTTTTTCTTCTAGGTTTTGAGTCTGGTAAAGTTAAAGATCAATATGATCAATCATTGATTGCATTAAGAAAACAAATTGATGATGTTACACGTGATAAAGCTTTAGCTGAATTACGTGCTAAACGTGCTGAATATGATGCATCATTAATAAAACACCAAACTGATTTTGCACATGAATTAGTTACTCTTGATCGTAATCGTTTTACTATGCTTAAACAACAACTTGAAGGTAGTGGCTCAGAATTAGAATCATTACGTAATCGTTTTGAAGATAAAAGACAAGATATTGATCGTGGTAAAGGTGAAGTTCGTCGTCTTTTGGATCAATTAGAACATTTAAAAAATGAATTTGATCAAGAATCTATGGCACGTGTTATGATACAAAATGAATTACAAACATTAGAAGAACAATTAGCTTTTATGAGAGCTGTTCACGAAGAAGAACGTAATGAAATAGCATCACTTGGTACAATATCTATTGATGTTAGTCAATTTTATCGTAATGAATTAACACGTGCTATTGCTGATATAAAGAGTGATTTTGAAGCACTTTCACAAGCTCAACGACGAGAATTAGAAGGTATAATTGCAATAGAGAAGAAAAAAAAGTGTAAAATGAATGTTTTATTTCTTATTTAGAATATTATCGAATTAAAACAGAAGAAATTCGTCAGCAAGCAGTTGAGCACAAACGTAAAATCGAGGAAGCACGTAGTTCAGGTTCTGTTGATATTATGGATTTAACATCATTGAAAAGTTTATTAACTGAAAATCGTGAAAGTTATGCTGCATTACAAAAGGAACATACAACATTATCAGGTCTACTTCGACAATTAGAAGAAGATTTTGAACGAATTTCATTTGAACATACTCGAGCACAAAGTGAACGTGAACGTGAATTAGCTGAATTACGTACTAAAGCTGAACAACGTCAATGTGAAATTGATTCTATACTTGAAAATAATGTTTCACTTAGATTTGAAATTAATACATATAGACGTTTACTTGAAGTTGAAGAAATTCGTATTCAAGCTACTCCTGAAGTATCAACTAAAAAAATGACCGTACAAAAATCGGCAAGAGGTTAGTTATTTATTTTATTTTTAATTAATAGAATAAGAATTCTTTATCAATTTTATTTATTATTGATACTATTAAAAATATTCAGAATAATAATAAGAAACAGCAGTAGAATGTTTCTTTCATATGTTTTTTGTAAGATACAAAGTAATGCGGGACAACTGTTATTCGTTTGATCATCTGTCTATGTTCTTTACTATCTGTCTATCCTCTCGTTCAATAATTATAATGATGATGATGGTGAGACATTTTGTTTATTCTCGTTCATCACTCCTTTAGGCCAATTGCCCCTTTTTTCTTAACAACAACAAGCATATATCTATCTCATTACATACGATTAGTCGCAGATGGACGGTTATAATTACAGCATATGTTTCAATAAAAAACACATATCTGAAGTTCACATCTTTTCTTTTTCTTATTTGATAATTAGAAATTTTATGTTCTCAAAACAATTTGACAAATAAAAATTAATAACCTATGTACCAATCAAAATTTAATGTATAAAAAATTTGACGATATATCAGTAATTTTCTTTTTCAAATTTTTTTAAAGAACTAATCTTGATAGCAAATTTAATTATTTCATTTAGACTACTAATAAAAAATATCATCCATCCACACCTACATATATACACATATTCTCCTCCTTTTCAAATGTATCTTGAGTGTTAGCTTTTCTTTTTATTTATCATTATTATATTTTTTTCTTATCTTCATTTTATCTTTATTTTTTTTTTGTTTGCTTGTTAAGTTACATATAACAACAATCTATGTTGTAAAAAGAAAATACTAAAAATTTCATGATTCTCATTTATACATAACAAAAAAAGAAAAATTCATCAATTCATTTAAATGTAGAATAGATTAATATAATAGCTGTTTACTTTATTTGTTTCAACATCATCGAAATATATAATCAGATTAGCACATATTTTACGCATATTTCATGCATATTTACTTTTGATTCTTCTAATATAGTTTTTTTTTTCATTTTTATTACTATCGAAGTTCTAATGTTGTCTGCATATTGACATAAAAAAATTAAAATTAAACTATTTAGTAAAATTTGATTTTGTAAAAAACAATATTTACTTTATTTAGGTCCTGTTACTATTGATCAGGTAGATCCACAAGGTAACTTTATTGTCATCGAGAATGCCGGTTCAACAGGCAAAGATCAAGAATTAAAAGGCTGGACATTACGACGTAGAGTTGATAACAATAGCGAGATTGTTTATAGATTTCCGGATAATTTTGTACTTAAATCACGAACACGTGTACGTATTTTAAGTCGTACAGCAAGTAAAAGTTCAATAAGTGAAAGAGAAGTATTAGTAGCTGATGGCGTTCAAAATTGGGGAACAGGTACAAATATGATAACACGTCTTGCAGATGCAAATGGAGATGAAAAAGCTGTATTTAATCAGAAATTCCAATAAAGTTCGACAAATATTGACAATAATGAAAAAAAAAAACAACAATTCATTTTTTGTTCTGTGTCTCTTGATTCCTGTTATTTAATTAGAAATGAAATTTTCTTTTTTTTTCTTCCTTGTTTCCCATTATCTTTTCTTTTGTTCTTTCTAGACCTAGAAAACTGTGTGTGTGAGTTTTCGTTTTTCTTCTTTTTTTTTGTTTACAGTATCTAGAAATTTATGTTTTTTTTTTTCTGGCGGTTCACTACTTACACTATTAAAATGTTCTTTTCATATTGTTCTTTCTATATCTGTGAAAACAAATTCTTTTTCTTTTGTCTTCATTTGCCATTGAACGCAAGATTATGTCTTGATTTCTTTTTTCTTATATCTTTTTAGGTACAGCCGCTTTTCTTTTTCATGTACTTTTTTTTGTCATCTATTTCTATTACACTGCTAATAAATCAGACACACACATAAATGAAATTTACAGGGCGATCTTGTGTTTTTTGTTTATATGGAATAGTTTTTGCGTGTGTGTGCATTAACATTATATGCTGTTTGTTTATTATTATTTTTTTTTCTCTTTGTATTAATTGAACATTTAAAGATAAGACATAAAACAATAAAGGATAAATAGAATAATATGAATTAAGATCATTGAAATTTATTTGTTTTTACATGTTTTTTGAACTTTGATAAATCATTGAAACATATAGACAAAGGTTCACCTTCATGATTAACTTTTTCACATAACCATTCAAGATGAGCACTGATACGTGTATAAAAACCAGGACTATTATTTCTTGCACATCCAAGGCCATGTGAAACAATACTAAAAGTAAAGAAATATCGTTCCATTGATTATATTTGTTTGATAAACATTTTAAAGTAATTCTTTGTTTGCTTAACAAATACATTTCTACTACTGTTTATTTCTTTTTTTCACAGGGAGTCCTTTAGATAAACATTCGTTGCATTTATTTATAAAGTGTCTGTGTATTAGAGCATAAATGCATTGTGCATGAATAATTGTTTTATATATATGTATAAAATTTTGCCTGAATATAGTATAATGTTTGTGATTTATTTCAATCGAAATGTCTTCAGCTAGATACAATATGAGAAAAATATTCTTGTATATAAAATTATATGAACTGATGTTTCTCTTTTATGATGAAAGTTTATTTTTTTGTTTCTTTTTTTTCCTTTTATACGGATAAGATAAGCAAATACCACAATGAATTTTTATCATTGAAACCATTATAAAGGTTCGGAAAAAAAACTGAGTCGAAAAATTTTTACTAAAAGCAAGGAATTGCTTAAGTGTTGTATAATCTAAAGTTGGAGAGACACGACGGAATTACGTCAAGTAACACTCTATTGAAACTCATATCAAACGTAAAGGCAGGTTTTGGTAGTTTATCTTCGTTGATCTTCAACGCCGAGTTATGATCGGTTTACTGGATTTTTAACCCATTTTTAAGCACTCTTCAGAACATCGAATAACGGAGTGTTGATTAATAATTTTGTCTCTAGATAGAGTTAATGACTCTTAGAATATCCTGAAATTTTCAGCCGAAAAGAATATTTCTTCATTGAGATATTGAATTTCCAAAAATAACCGTTCGCCCAAAAAAAAAGAGATGAAATTAGATTTTTTTCATCAAATAATCGAGAGTAAACACTTGATTTTTTTTTTTATTTTATGTTAACTTAAAATCACAAGAATCATTTGCAATAAAAAAACTTCAGAAAAGCTAAGTTAATAGAAAGCATCATTTTCTTTGTAACTATTATAGCAGATCTCAGTTTTTAAATGTACGAATCGTGTTCTTTTAATAACTGGATTCCACATTGAATACCTTAGCGAAGGAGGATCCTTTTTGGTTGAAACTTGCAGGATATTCTGAGAATCATTAGACCAATCTATAGACAACATTTTGGATCAAAAGCCTATTATTCAGTCTTCCGGAGAATGCCTAAGAATGGATAAAAAATCCAGTAAACCGATCATACCTCGGCGTTCAAGGTCAATGCGGACAAATCCTTTTAGGCTTTTAGTGATCTCATTGAAACCTGTCTGTGGGTTTCATATGAGCTCAAACAACGGGTGTCACTTCGGGTAGTTCTCTCATAAGCGTATGTCGCACAATTAGATGGAAAGGAGAAATTAATAATAGCTAGAAGTTTGACTAAGTCCTTCGAAAAAATTGAATTTTAAATGCCATTGAAAGCATAATAGAAACAAAAAGTAAATGTTATAAATATATTGAAACTGCTCTAGGCTCCGTTAAAAACAAGAGATAGCGCTGAAATTTCTCTTTATGTGTAACTAGAGACCCTCAAAATTTGCACAAAGATTCGGCTCAGTACGATTCTTTACTAACGAAAACATTATTCCACTGATCAATAGTCATGATTTTCTTCCTTTTTCTCATGGTTATTTTATCTTTCAAAGAAATCACTTTTTCAAAAATAATAGACACTAAAAATCTCGAAAAATGAAATATAACTTTGAAATTACAAGAAAAAAAAATTATAAGATCACCGGTTCCAAAGATACTTTTTAAGAGCCAAAATTGAAACCGTTTTTTTTGCCTCTAGAAACCGGAATCGTCGACCTCCAGTTACAAGATTAACTTTTTGAATCAATTTCTTTTTTCAATAAATAGAGCTGAGAAAAACAATGCGACTTTTTTTTTTGAACACATTCAACCCTTAACGAAATCAAATTTTGCTTGATTTCGATCTTTTGTAAAAATTCAAGAATGAAAGTATTATGATGTGAAATTTTCAGATCGTCAGGATTTAGGTATGCACCAGTGCCAGTGCAGAACTGGGGACTGGGGTACCAGTCGGACTGGTACCCAGTGCGACTGGGTGACCCAGTCG